CCACCCTCCCCCCCCCCATAAGATAACTATGTTACTATTTTGATGTGTGTCCTTCCTTCCAGTCTCTTTCCTTTGCATTTTTTCCCCTAATGAGGTAATAACTTTACTCCTCATTCAGCGATCTGTGCTTTTCCTTTTGCAATATGTCTGAGAGAGAGTTTTCCATATTAGTCTCTAATTTCTAACTGCCCGTATCCTTCCAATACCTGGAGAGAGTTAGAGGGCACTGAGCCAAAGCTTTGGTGTTACCTGGCATAAGATTTCTTTACTTACTGATAATGATACATTTTTGCCATTTTTATCATTGATTTGTAGGAGTCATTTTAGACACATAAGTGACTCTGGGAGAAAAAAGACTTACATTCAAAACAATTGGCAATATATATCCAAGAAAATGGACAGACAGGTCAGGTTCTGAGGAGATGCCTCATCGCTTGTGCCAGTGGCGTCACATTACATCTTTATTATATCTTTAGGAATTGGGCCCACTGGGAAGCTGAGAAGCTGTGGGAGTTAGAAAGCTGGTCTTTTCTGCATTTGAGTATTCCCCACAAGGTTGCCATGATTGTCTCACTTACTCTGCTCATTCTCTTCCTACCTATTTAAGGATATGAACTGTGTTTCTTCACAGAGATTTCCAAGGAAACTCTATTTCTTCCATTGATGAAAATACATGGAAGCCTTACCGCTGGACTGAGAAACTGTGAGTATATTCTCTCTAAATATGCATACAAAACACTAACTGCCTTTTCACATTCTTCTTGGTCCAGAATTCTGAGGTCAACAGCCGTGTTAAAAGGTATTTCCCCCTTCACATTCCAAACCAACCTATTGATTGAAATTCTGTGTTTATTTAAAAAATTAAACTTGGCAGGCCGTCATTCAAATAAGCAAGAACCAATTTAAACTTATTTTCCATTATACCAGTAATACATGATTATATCCTCCATATAGAAAAATGAAATAACAGGTATAGTGAAAACCCTCCTTGTGCCTTAATCCCCCACCCACACAATTTTGAGTTTAGTAACAGTCCTTCCAGACTCTTTTCCTTGTATTTGACTACATACATATTTACAGATAACAATAAGTTAGTTGTGTGACTTTATTATACCTTTTTACATAAGTGGTAAAATCTTGCAACTTGATTCTTTAATGTCACGATACGTCTTAGATTTCTTTACTTCTCAGTACATAGAGGGTTGCCCCATTCATTTAAACTCCTGCATAATAGTCCATAGTATTGGACATATCAGTTTAATAATGCCCATGTTGAAAGGTGTTTAGATTATGTCCAGTTTTCTTGTTATAAACACTGTTGCAATGAACATCCTTGTACATGCATCTTTGTGAGCCTGTGAGGTATTTCTGTAGAATAGATACCAGAAATGGGATTGTTGGGGTGAAGACTATGTAGATAAAAACTTCTAATTGCCCTCAAGCACCTTGTGCCAGTTTCAATCCAGTCAGCACTCCCTGACAGCCTTTACTTCCCCACAGCCTTCCACTGCTGGATATTCCTCATGTTTTTGGCTGATCTGAAGGGTGAATAAAAGGGGTTCCATCTGAATTTGAATTTTTCTGAGTACCTGTGAATTTAAATATTTTATATGTGTGCTGAGCATTTGTATTTCATCTCTGAATTGTCTGTCCTTTACTCATTTTTCTATTTTTTTTATACTGATTTGTAGACAAGTCAGGTTAGATAAAATAAGTGATTTTAGGGGAAAAGCTATATTCAAAGCAGTTAACTGGCATTTTTCATGGCAGTTTGTATTACTCAACTTGAATAGACAAATCATAAATATGACTTCCAAATTACCTTGTTGATAAGATGTTCTGCATCTTTTTGCGTTGTCTTCAAAAATATCCAAAGTATTGTCATATCTACCTGTAATCAGTATAAAAATTAATGAGTCTCCGTAGTGTTTGTCTGTACTGTTTGAAATCTCAATTTTGTTGCTGAATTTTATTTGTACTTAGCTTTCTTAAAATTTACAGTTGAAAAGTTGTATCACATACCCAAATTGTTGCAAACACACTTAAAGTTTTCCAGTAATTACACTATCAGTTTTTACATTTTAATTTTAAAAGTAATTAAATTAAATTAGAATTCAACTCCTTAGGCACATTAGCCACTCAAGCACTCAGTAGCCACATGTTGCTAGACATGCAGCACTACATGCTATATGCAAGAGTAAAATAAATTTACAAAATATTGTTGAATGAAAGAACATAGAGAATAATACACAAATGATTCCACACACATAAAGTTCAAGAAGAATAAGTTATATTCTTTGTGGCTGATGTATAAAAGGCAAAACTACATGTGAAAAAGAAGGTAATCAGTATTAAAGTCAGGATAGTGGCTTCCTCTAGGGAAGAGGGCTGCAATTGGAAAGGAGCACAGCGGGGGCTCCGGGGGCGCTGGCTGTGTTCTTTCTTGACGTGAATGGTGTCACATGCGGATTTCTAATTATTAAAGTGAACAGGTATGTATATTTTACGTACATTCTAATTTTGAAAAAAAAATTTTCAGTGGGGACAAAAATCAGAAGACTTCATTTCCAGCCCTGATATACTCTGTCTGGGACTTCCAGATGCGGTTTGGGAAAAGCGAGAAAGGAGTGGCAGCTCTGCAGCATCAGTGCTGCCCAGAGTTGGGTTCTAACCAAGGACTTGTGATCGGAAGAATAGGCATTAAATACATGATTTGGTGAGGCAGAGTGGATGGGGTGTGTGCGTGTGTGTGTGTGATGAAAAGACATGGACACAAAGGAAGATGTGAGAAGAAATGATTAAATGAAACTGGAGTGGAGATCACCATGTCTAAAATAAGAATTAAGGTACTCAGGTGGCACCATTACCCAGATTTCTCCTACATATGGGAGTTAGTCCTATGTAGTAAATAATTGTAGTTGTTTTGCATTTTGATCCAAAAATAACCTTTTCATTTTTCAGAATTCTCAGAGATAATTCTTTGACTGAGTTACATAAGAATTCATTTAAAGGCTTGCTAGTCCTCCGGTATTTGTAAGTTAATTAGTTAACGATTTATTTATGAGTTCTTAGTTATATTATTGATAAAGTAATTAAGGGGTTTAAATTAAATAACCTCTACAGTTTTTTTGAGCAATAAAATTCTGTAATTCTCTAGGTCTGTAGGGCCCCAGCCCATCTCTAGCATCAAATACCTCCTATTCATTTTATATAGACAAGATATAGATAGAAAAACACCTTTTAGTTGTAGAGGAAAAGTGGTAATGTGGTCTGAGCAATTATAGACACCCATATGAACCTTATTATATAAGAGTTCATATACCATCCACTTACATTTAGTTTATGGCCCACAGATCAGATCCACCCCATGATCTGTATTTGCACAGCACACAAGTTAAGGATGATGTTTAAAGGGCTGAAGTGGGAAAACAGAGGGAAAAAACAAAGGAAAACACACAGCAGAGACTGTGTGTGGCCTGCACAGCCTCACGGACTCACTGTGTGGCCTTCACAGAAAAGGTGTGAAAAAGATGCTTTAGTAGAATGAGAGGAATTAAAGTAAAGCTCAGATTATCACCTAGAGGACCAGAAAATATAGAACACTTACATTAATATGAATGCCATTAACTCATAATTTTAATCTAAATTAAATTCACATTTAAATGTTAAATATTAAAGTATGTAAAGTTATGTAAACAGTATTGTCCAGAACATATCAAGTTACCAAGAGAACAGACTGGTGTTAAGGATTCAATGCAGGAATTGTTATACCAATATTAAAAATGTTTAAGACGATGGTTAAAGTGGTATAGTTATAACTGTTAACACCAAATAAGCATATTAGAAGTGTCCCTAACTTCACTAACTACAAAATGAAAAACTCTGCAGTGTCATTATACAAGGAAAGAAATGCTTGCATAGTATTTTTGTTAATTTAGAGATAAGGAGATACTGTGTTCTCTGCTATAAAAGATCAATTTTTATCTTTTGTCTCTGGCATCTAGAGCTGTGTATGTCATTAATCCTTACTAAACTAACTAATGATGCTCTTTAGCAAAGAGATTCTTCTTGCAAATATAGAAGGCTGAGGGAAGTGGGTATAAGGAGCCTCACATGACCCTAAAAATAGTCCTTTTAACTATCAAACCATCCAAGCCTTAAGGGGCAACCACTTTTGTATTAGTCTTCTTGGGTCCCTCTGTCATCTGGGCTCCAAACCTTAGAAACACAGTTTGGAGAAAAATAAATGAGACAACTGCTCAATGGATTAGGCCATTAATTACTTCTACTATGAAATACCCTCTTAGCAGATTGTTTCATGTTAGCGTAAGTTATTCTCACTCATTTAAAAAAATGTCAATCAGTAAAAAAGAATATGCCAAGCAGTGTGCCTAGTGTTGTAAACACGATAGGTAAAACAGTTTCTTCTAGGAAATCTTGATCTTATAGGGAAAAAAAACATAAGCTCAAACCGTCATGCAGAAACACTAAGTGGATGACAGAGTGCTGTAGAGGCATAGAAAAGGGAGTGTTTCTTCTAAAACAGTCATTTTCTTCCTCCTGTTCACTCCCCAGCTAATTGTTTATTTTAAAAACTATCTGACTTTGCTTTGTGTCCACGCATTGGCTTTAAACATGATAGACAATGCACATGAGTGGGTCTAGTCCATACATTCAAGGAGTTTATACTCAGGGGAAATGGGCTGCAAAAATAGCTATATAAGAAAAAAAGTGGAGAGGGGCAATGAGAGCTCTAAGTTGGTTTTGGAGCTCAGAAGAGGGAAGACTCCAAACTGAATCAGGGAAAATGTTAGAGCAGTGCTGTTTGAACAGGACCTTAAAGGGCCACTGTATGTCATCAGACAGACATCTTGGGAAGAGTACATTTGCAAAAAGAAGGAGAGGCAAAACACAGGAAACATGTTTTGAGTGCCTATACAGTACAAGTAAGAAGAGTAGGAGATTAGGGCCAGGTCATCTAGGGCTTTGAAGGACAGACTCGAGCCTGCAGCAGAGTCAGTCACTTGGAGGGCTTGTTAAAGCGCAAGTTCTGCCCCACAGTTGCTGATTCAGTTGGTCCAGAGTAGAGCTGAGCATTTCTTCAGTAAATTCACAAGTGATGGTGGTATTTGAGAACCACGTCTGGAGAGTTAATCTGGTGACTGTACAGGATGGCTGAGAAAGGGACTACAGGTGCAAACACCAGTCAGAAGACAGTTACACCCACCCAGGAGAAAGGAGAGACTGAGTTAGAATCAGTGGAAGTAAGATAGCCAGCTATAGTCAAGTGGGTGTTTCAAATAAAAGTCAGTATTTTAGTATAATACTGAATTAGTTCAAATTACACAGTAATAAGAGAAGTAATCCCTTTCAAGTCATGCAAAAGGCTATCTTTTAGATATGTTTAGATAAACAGAATTAAACTGAGAGTTGTGTAAATAGGAAAGTATTACTTTTCATATTAAACATTATAATTATATATCGAGGTAAAAACTCGAGCTTATAATCTAGAATTTGTTGAGACCACAAAAGGTTATCTAATCAATTCTTCTGCTCTGAGGAAAGATTACCTCAAAAATCTACCAAGATCTATATAGATGTATGTTTTATTAGTGAACATAATGAAAGTGAGACTCTTAAGATAGGTGAGAGCAGGGTTAGGGGCTTTGGAAGGTTTAAATAACAATTCATAAGGTTTAGAGGTTATATAGAAGCTTGCTTATTCATTATTATTCTAACCTCTAGTAATTTCTACTAATTAGATATCTAGTAGCTAATTGAGGCAATATTTTCCTTTTCCTTTTCCTAGAGATTTATCTTGCAATAAAATACAGTTTATTGAAAGCGGTACATTTGAATCACTACCTTTTCTGCAGTTTGTGTAAGTTACAAATATAACTTCATTATGTTTGGAATTTTTATAAAAGTTAACTTTTTATAAAGTTTTTATAAAGTTAACTTGCTACTGATTTCAAAACATTAAAATTTTAGTGTAGAAAGCTACTAGAATTATGTAGCTAATCCTTTTTGTCTCTCGCAAAGATTTGCACTCAGATGACATTTGGCAATATCTGGAGACATTTTTGGTTATCAGAACCATAGTTATGCTGCTGCCATCTGGTGGACAGAGGCCAGAGATGCTGCTAAACCCCCTACAGGGTACTAGAGAGCCCCCCACAACAGAGTTGTCCGGCCCAAAATGTCAGTGGTACTGCCCTTTGCTAGAGAAGAAAGGATCACTTATCGCAAATATTTATTGAGGACTTACCGTTTTGTATCTAATGCACCATGTATATAATCATGAAACTATAAATCACAAGCAACTATTTTCCACAGTGAGATTTCTTTAGTGTATGGAAGGGATAATGAGGTCATGTTTCATTGTATATAAATCAGAATTACTGACAAAGGATAATGTTCTGAAATAGATGAATACATGTAAAAAACTATGTTTTGGTTATTGGTAATTGGTTATCTGGGTGTAAGCTCACTGTGGATTCCAGAAATTATGTCTTGAGATCGATTTTTTTTTTTTCAAATGAGAAAACTAAGGTACAAAGAGGCCATGAGACTTGTCTAACTCATATATGGAACACTTTGCTCTCCCTAGTACTGATGTTTGGGATGAGCAATAAAATAAAAGGCACCCAACAGAAACACTCAAATTAGCATTGTCATGGAATCCCATTGTTGTTGCTCCAATATGCGAATAGTACTTGAAATTCCACCTTTGAATTTAATCCCTGCTCCCGTGCAAAATTCCTAACTACTTAAAACTTATGCAGCACAGAACTGCAAAGAACTAAGTTTAGCCCAGAATTCTTCAGGGAGCAAAATGTATGGGTGCCTTCTCAAGTATTAGCTTCCTTTAAATGGTAAAGCAGAAAGAATTCTTGAACATCCACTTCTCTCCCCAACCATCCAAAACATTATTTTTCAAAAAGTCTATATGTCTGAAGTGAATTGTCTGTGGCCAATAGGAACCTTTGAGGTATGGATGTTTGTGTTAAGCTGTAGTGTGAAAAATACAAAGAACATACATTGCTCTCACTGAATTCTCTATACTTTCTTTTCTGACTACTTCTAATAAGAAGTGTGGGTTTTTCAGAACTTTGAAAATTCTGTGACTTCTCCATGTCACAAGCAGATCACAGCAGGTAGGTTCAGTGATCTGAAGGGGATTTTAGACTCAAGGTGAAGAGTCTCCTCTAAATCAGGGTTTGGAAAAGACTCTTCTGTTTGTCTTGTGGTTCAGAAATCCAGTTTCACACAGATTTCTTTCGGTTAATGAAAGTGTCGAGGGTGCATCTGGAGCTGGACTAACAGTTCTGCAGATGCCCACCAGTGGCAGCCTCCCTCCCCCTTTCATTAGTTTGCTGGTACCTAACTTGTGGAAAGAGAACAAAGGGTCAGTTTTTCTCTTGTCAGCGCACCAGAGAGGGGGCTCATTAGGTCCCTCTGCCAAGAGGTTTTAGTAGCATTGGTACCATGTCTTAAACTCATGACCTTTCCTAAACATTTTATAACACCGGGAGTCTCTTTTAGAATCTAAGTTTCCTTATGGTTATGTAGGTGAGCCAGGAGAGAAAGAATTGTGGAATCACAGTCGATAAAAATGAATGAATTTATTGGAAAACACTCACTGAGTGCCATGTGCACTGTGTGTCTGCGCCTCACTAAGTGCTGGTGTTACAAAGACGAATAGGCCAAAGATTTTGTCCCCAAGAACCTTTCATACTGGAAGAAAATTGATGGTAAAACTTATGAGAGCCATGCTAGCATCTCTGCAGCAGGGGAGCCAAGTAGGAA